CCTCCCCCCACCCACACACACATTGACTCGATCAGTGGAGCCACACATAGGTAAGTACATACAAATATTCAAGAACTGGTGGAAGGTGCAAGAGACTGTCATTATATAATATTAATATGTTTTCAAGCCTTGTACTACGTTCTCCTCTCTATTAATTTGGAGGAAATCTCTTAGGGATTTTCCCATCATAAGACTCGGGACTACATGGCCTCAGGAATTTCAGAATTATGAATGAATGGACAAGTGTTTATTGGACTATTTTTGTTTTCAACACGCCGGCAGTCCCTCACCGAGGCTGGGTGACCCGAAAAAGGGTTACTAGTCCTTTGCTCCCGGCATTTTAGTCGCCTCTTATGACACGCATGGCTTACGGAGGAAGGATTTTTCTCCACTTCTCCATGGAGTTTACTGGCTTATGCTAATATTAAATTTAAATCTCTGTTAGTTGACTGGGGCGTTGTGAGAGCTGCTGCTGCTGCTACCAGAGATGAAGTGCTCTCTGGGATGCACTGGAAACACCTCTACCTCCAAGTCTGACTAGAGGTATACGTTGGTTTCACTGCCCATCTTCCAGATGAAGATTGAGTACAAAAAGAATACAACGGTCACAATAACGTAGCTGGAACAGTTCATCCAGAACCCACACTCACGAGAGAAAACTTAGAATACTGAATACTTTTGTGAATATCGACTTCGAGAGATTGTCGGTATCTTGATATATGTGTTAGCTTGGGAAGGTTCAATTATTATTATTACAATCAAGGGGGAAGCGCTAAACCCGGAGGATTATACAGCGCCTGGGGGGGTATGTGGAAGGCATTCAGGCTTAATTTGGGGAACTGGAGCACAGATCCAATTCCCTAAATCAAGAGCCCCTCACCAACATCAAGGAACCTTCCTTGAGGGGCCTGGGAAGGTTCAAGCATATTGAAAGTACAAGGCATTGTAGATGCCTAGATTGCCTTATTCGTCATTTCGTTTTCTTTAAATCATGGAGTTTGTCTTCGAGAGCTGTGTCACAAGCATTAGTTTTAAGTGGAGCTCTAAGCAGTAAGGATGTCACTACATCGACTGCTTGCTAGGTGACTGTGATTTCGCATTTGGAAGTTCTTATGGCCTGTCTGTGACCTTGATCAAGATCTGCCAGAAGGGATTCCTCTGTGTCTGCCACCATCCTGGAACCTGAAAAACAGTTCAGTGGGCAATTTGTTAGCGATTCAACGTTACGGAGGAGAGAAATGGGACGCAGGGATTCCCATTTTGAACACTCCCTCACGAAGTGACACCATACAAGCCTCAACTCTTTCCTATATTAAACTGAAACGAATGAGAAGAGACTATAACAGGGTGTTATATATATATATATATATATATATATATATATATATATATATATATTATATATATATATATATATATATATATACTCTAAGTGACTACATATATATGTAGTGACGAACAGGTAAAACTTGCTATTTTGGCTTAATAGCAACTCTTTTCTTGCCGAATAAGGCAAGCGAAAATTTATACATGCATTAATTTCGCAAAAATAATTCTGAACCTAACGAAAAAAAAAATATTTCGTTGTGTTTATTATTAAACTATTGTAAACTTATCTAAAATATATTTAGCTGGATTAACGTAAATTAAATTGCGCTTGTTGTAAGGTTAGCTAAGTTTTCTAATTTTTTTTTGGTACAAAATTATTAATTTTTTACATTAACACAAATTAAAAAAATATATCTTCATACGTATAGGAGAAAATTTTAGAAAGGATTTAATTTTAAACGAGTTCTTGCTAACTGACTAGTTTTACCTATTCGGCACGACAACATATCGGCCATTTGCCTCCAAGGCAGGTGACAAGAAGAAGCAGAAATACTTTCACCATCATTCACTCCATCACTGTGTTGCCAAAGGCGTGTCTACACTACGGTTAAAAAACTGCAACATTAACACCCCTCCTTCAGCGTGCAGGCACTGTACTTCCCACCTCCAGGACTCAAGTCCGGCTAACCGGTTTCCCTGACTCCTTTCATGTGTGTTACTCCAACAACACATCAAGTTACTCACTCCTAACACGCTCACGCACGCTTGCTGGAGGTTCAAGCCTCTCGCACACAACGTTTACCCCCCTTCCCTCCAACTTTTTCTAGGCCGACCCCTACCCCTCCACTTCAACAACCCCTCCTCAGTCCTCTGGATAATACTTTTGGAAACCCCACACCTCCTCCTAATCTTCAAGGTACAGATTATCTGCATTATATTCACACCACACACTGCCCTCAGACACGACATCTCCACTGCCTCCAGCCTTCTCCTCGTTGCAACATTCACCACCCATGCTTCACACTCACATAAGATCGTTGATACCACTATACTCTCACACATTCCCCTCTTTGCTTCCATGGATAATGTTACTGGCTAACGCGGGTTCTATCCCCGGTTCTGATCGCGGGTTCTATCCCCGCCCGTGGTATGGTTTTTTTATGGATAATATTTTTTGTCTCCACAGACTCCTCAGTGCACCACTCACCTCTTTCCCCCTCATCAATTCTATGATTCACCTCATCCTTCATAGACCCATCTGCTGATACGTCCACTCCCAAATATCTGAATACATTCACCTCCTCCATACTCTATACATAGCAGAATTTAGCTAAAAAAAATTACGCTAGTTTAAGTTAGGTTAGGTGAGGTTTCTAAGTTAGGTTAGGTGAGGTTTCTAAGTTAGGTTAGGTGAGGTTTCTAAGTTAGGTTAGGTGAGGTTTCTAAGTTAGGTTAGGTGAGGTTTCTAAGTTAGGTTAGGTGAGGTTTCTAAGTTAAGTTAGGTGAGGTTTCTAAGTTAGGTTAGGTGAGGTTTCTAAGTTAGGTTAGGTGAGGTTTCTAAGTTAGGTGAGGTTTCTAAGTTAGGTGAGGTTTCTAAGTTAGGTGAGGTTTCTAAGTTAGGTGAGGTTTCTAAGTTAGGTGAGGTTTCTAAGTTAGGTGAGGTTTCTAAGTTAGGTTAGGTGAGGCTTCTAAGTTAGGTGAGGTGAGGTTTCTAAGTTAGGTGAGGTGAGGTTTCTAAGTTAGGTGAGGTGAGGTTTCTAAGTTAGGTGAGGTGAGGTTTCTAAGTTAGGTGAGGTGAGGTTTCTAAGTTAGGTTAGGTGAGGTTTCTAAGTTAGGTTAGGTGAGGTTTCTAAGTTAGGTTAGGTGAGGTTTCTAAGTTAGGTGAGGTGAGGTTCCTAAGTTAGGTTAGGTGAGGTTTCTAAGTTAGGTTAGGTGAGGTTTCTAAGTTAGGTTAGGTGAGGTTTCTAAGTTAGGTTAGGTAAGGTTTCTAAGTTAGGTTAGGTGAGGTTTCTAAGTTAGGTTAGGTGAGGTTTCTAAGTTAGGTTAGGTAAGGTTTCTAAGTTAGGTTAGGTGAGGTTTCTAAGTTAGGTTAGGTGAGGTTTCTAAGTTAGGTTAGGTGAGGTTTCTAAGTTAAGTTAGGTGAGGTTTCTAAGTTAGGTTAGGTGAGGTTTCTAAGTTAGGTTAGGTGAGGTTTCTAAGTTAGGTTAGGTAAGGTTTCTAAGTTAGGTTAGGTGAGGTTTCTAAGTTAGGTTAGGTGAGGTTTCTAAGTTAGGTTAGGTTAGGTGAGGTTTCTAAGTTAGGTTAGGTTAGGTGAGGTTTCTAAGTTAGGTTAGGTGAGGTTTCTAAGTTAGGTTAGGTGAGGTTTCTAAGTTAGGTTAGGTGAGGTTTCTAAGTTAGGTTAGGTGAGGTTTCTAAGTTAGGTTAGGTGAGGTTTCTAAGTTAAGTTAGGTGAGGTTTCTAAGTTAGGTTAGATGAGGTTTCTAAGTTAGGTTAGGTGAGGTTTCTAAGTTAGGTTAGGTAAGGTTTCTAAGTTAGGTTAGGTAAGGTTTCTAAGTTAGGTTAGGTGAGGTTTCTAAGTTAGGTTAGGTGAGGTTTCTAAGTTAGGTTAGGTGAGGTTTCTAAGTTAAGTTAGGTGGGGTTTCTAAGTTAGGTTAGGTGAGGTTTCTAAGTTAGGTGAGGTGAGGTTTCTAAGTTAGGTGAGGTGAGGTTTCTAAGTTAGGTTAGGTGAGGTTTCTAAGTTAGGTTAGGTGAGGTTTCTAAGTTAGGTTAGGTGAGGTTTCTAAGTTAGGTGAGGTGAGGTTTCTAAGTTAGGTGAGGTGAGGTTTCTAAGTTAGGTTAGGTGAGGTTTCTAAGTTAGGTTAGGTGAGGTTTCTAAGTTAGGTTAGGTGAGGTTTCTAAGTTAGGTTAGGTGAGGTTTCTAAGTTAGGTTAGGTGAGGTTTCTAAGTTAGGTTAGGTGAGGTTTCTAAGTTAGGTTAGGTGAGGTTTCTAAGTTAGGTTAGGTGAGGTTTCTAAGTTAGGTTAGGTGAGGTTTCTAAGTTAGGTTAGGTGAGGTTTCTAAGTTAGGTTTGGTCCAAAAGTAAAAATCTTAAATCATTATCAATAAAAAAAAAAAAGATTATTATTCTGAAAAAAGTTGTTTTTTAGGCTCGACATATATATATATATATATATATATATATATATATATATATATATATATATATATATATATATATATATAGATGAATATATATGAGACAGACATACTGATATTGCTCTAACAGTTAAATTATGTCTTAGAACTGCCATATACCAGTTATACTAGAAGTATAGAAGGTTATACCCTTACATTACATCCAGTGTTTGCAGTCATGATTTTTTACGCCAGTATGACGCAAGGAAAATCCTGCACTGTACTGTGACGTAGCATGAGGGACAGGAAGCTGCTGGAGCAGTGACAACTAGCAGGGATATATATCACTTTTATAACATATTACCAGTGCTATGACACTCACAGGTGATGGAGAAGTCTAATGAGAGTATGAATGGGAAAAAGTTTTGGATCAAATTTAGGTAATGAGGCAGGCAGCATGGAGGGAAAAAGAGACGCGGTGATGGGTAGGTCTTGTTATGGCGGGAGAGGAGAGCGCGTGCGCCACCAGGGTAAGCTATATAAGCCGCGAGAGTCGAGTGTGCCAGCCAGTGACACACTAGTTGTCCCACTACTAAGGTCTCCCTCGGCTTGCTGCGTCTCTCGTACCTGCCAGTCAATAAACGAGTCCACATCCCAGGAAACTTTGGCACCAAAGAGCATCGTCGTCTATACCTGCCTCAGAAGCACCGTCTGTTGCTAAGTTTAGTGCATCGCTACCTTCTTCAGGCACCAAACTAGACCTTTTTCCACTTGAGACTCTCCTAAGCACTCAAAGATGGGCAAGATCAAGGACATGAAGGAGTACGTGGGGTCTGAGGAGTTCCTGAAGGTGGATACATGGAAGGCCATCATTGCAGAGTTCCTGGGGACGATGTTGCTGGTGTTCCTAGCGTGTGGCTCCTGTCTCGGCGGCTGGAGTGAAGGCTACAGCCCCTCCGTCGTCCAGATCGCCTTCAGTTTCGGCATTTCCGTGGCTTCCATAGCACAGGTGAGTGGTAGGGGAGGGCATACATGAGTTATTATTATAATACCCCATAACTAAGCGCTAAATCCCTAGTGGTCATATAGCGCTGTGCCGGATAACAAAGAAAAATAAATACATATACATGTGACAGTTTTTTCCTGTAACTGTAGTTTAAGAAAGTTCAATACTGGCACAGTGAAAGCTAGCTTGGCATCTGTTTCTTCCTTCGTGTGCTGGCTGCATCGTCGTATTTCATGAAGTAGTTAACCCGTATGGGTTATTCAGCGCGAGGTGGGAGCTTCAACCTCCGTTCACTACTGGCGGCCTGGTCTCTGACCAGACAGGCTGCTGGTAGAGATATTGCACTTGCGGACCTGTAACCAAGACCTTCCACAGGTGTGAACCACATTTGCTACATGCTCACATACTCTTATTAGACGACCATCCCTCACCTCCACCTCCCTCTCTGTCTCTCTCTTTCTCTCTCTCTCTTTCTCTCTCTCTCTCTCTCTCTCTCTCTCTCTCTCTCTGGTGTTCAGAGTAACACAGTACCTAGCTAGCATGTGGTAAGCTTCCCCCTGACTATACTATCCAGTTTTGGTCCCCAGATGATATATAAGCCCAAGGTTAACTTGAGAGGACGCAAGGGAAGGCAACAAAGATAGCGTCTTCATTAACAAACATACACAGTAATACATCTATTTCTACCAGTACGTGTACAAGGTATACAGACCATAGCTGACATCAGTGACATACTATTATATAGAAAGCCGCTTGTTATGCTGAGCATTTCCTGCAAATAAGATCAGTTTTATCCCAGGATGCGACCCACACCAGTCCACAACACCCAGGTACCCATTTTACTGATGGGCGAACAGGGACAGTAGGTGTCTTATGGAAACACGTCCTAATGTTTTCCAGCATTACCGAGGGATCGACCCCAAGACCTCAGTGTGTAAGCTGAGTGCGCTAACGATGGAGCTACGGGACACAAAAACCTCTCACCTTCTTCCAGAAACAGAGATTACGAGACCTCACTCAAACCTCCATACCTGGACAGATTTAACACACCAAACACTGCATCATTAAAGAGGGTAACCATGGCATGAAACTCCGAGGAAAGAGGTGCGACACTAATGTGCGAGTAAACTGGGTGTATTCGACAAGCGCTAAATCCGTATGGATCGTACAGTGCTCTGTAAAACTCATTTTGTAGAAACACCAAATACTACAAAATGCGACCCACTGTAGTTATCTTAGAAAAGAGTTCTTTAAAAACCACACACACACAAACACACACACACACAAACACACACACACAAACACACACACACAAACACACACACACACACACACACACACACACACACAAACACACACACAAACACACACACACACACACACACATGGAAGGCAAATCCTGTCACAAACTTTCTGGAGTTTTATGACAAGGTAACAGAAGTAAGACACGAGAGAGAGGGGTTGGTTGATTGCGTTTTCCTAGACTGCAGGAAGGCCTTTGACACAGTTCCCCACAAGAGATTAGTGCAGAAGCTGGAGGATCAGGCGCATGTAAAAGGGAGGGTACTGCAATGGATCAGGGAATACCTGACAGGGAGGCAACGACGAGTCATGGTACGTGAAGAGGTATCACAGTGGGCGCCTGTGACGAGCGGGGTCCCACAGAGGTCAGTTCTAGGACCAGTGCTATTTTTGATATATGCGAACGACATGACGGAAGGAATAGACTCTGAAGTGTCCCTATTCGCAGATGATGTGAAGTTGATGAGAAGAATTAAATCGGATGAGGATGAGGCAGGACTGCAAAGAGACCTGGACAGGCTGGACATGTGGTCCAGTAACTGGCTTCTCGAATTCAACCCTGCCAAATGCAAAGTCATGAAGATTGGGGAGGGGCAAAGAAGACCGCAGACAGAGTATAGGCTAGGTGGACAAAGACTACAGACCTCACTCAGGGAGAAAGACCTTGGGGTGACCATAACACCGAGCACATCACCGGAGGCACACATCAACCAAATAACTGCTGCAGCATACGGGCGCCTGGCAAACCTGAGAATAGCGTTCCGATACCTTAATAAGGAATCGTTCAAGACACTGTACACTGTGTATGTTAGGCCCATACTGGAGTATGCAGCACCAGTCTGGAACCCACACCTGGTCAAGCACGTCAAGAAGTTAGAGAAAGTACAAAGGTTTGCAACAAGGCTAGTCCCAGAGCTCAGGGGAATGTCGTACGAGGAAAGGTTGAGGACAATCGGACTGACGACACTGGAGGACAGAAGGGTCAGGGGAGACATGATAACGACATACAAGATACTGCGGGGAACAGACAAGGTGGACAGAGACAGGATGTTCCAGAGAGGGGACACAGAAACAAGGGGTCACAACTGGATGCTGAAGACTCAGACGAGTCACAGGGACGTTAGGAAGTATTTCTTCAGTCATAGAGTCGTCAGGAAGTGGAATAGCCTAGCAAGTGAAGTAGTGGAGGCAGGAACCATACATAGTTTTAAGAAGAGGTATGACAAAGCTCAGGAAGCAGAGAGGGAGAGGACCTAGTAGAGATCAGTGAAGAGGCGGGGCCAGGAGCTGAGTCTCGACCCCTGCAACCACAATTAGGCGAGTACACACACACACACACACACACACACACACACACACACACACACACACACACACACACACACACACACACACATGGGAAAGCGCTGGAAATATGGGATACAATACTTGCCGTATATACAGTACACAATACATTATATAAGAGGCCATGGCTAGGCCACCAGGACCCTGAGGGCAGTTGCTCAGTGGTCCATCAGTTGACCATGGCTCACCCAGGGCACATATTTACGGGGAAAAGCTAGACCCGTATGGGTTATACAGTGCCTGGAGAATGGGAGGTGATCAAGTCTGATGAGAGGAAGGGGAAGAGGCAGATCCCATTCCTTGGATCAAGACATCCAACTAGAGCACAACAGTGGTGCTATTACTAGTAGCTGTAATAATAATAGTAACAGTAGTAGTAGTAATAATAGCAATATTAAAAGTAGAAATAAATTATTAATATTAGTACTAGCAATAGTAATACTAGTATTAGTAGTGGTAGCAATAGTCGTAGTAATACTTGTAACAGTACTAGTAGTAGTAATAGGACCTACCACGTAGGTATGAGGGTTTGTGTGTACATGATCATAACACTTATGAAGGTGACAGTGAAGGTGAAGCAGGAGAGAACCTTGCGCTATACTGATCTCAACAGCACACAGCCTCCATCTTCACACTAAAACACATCCGTCTTTCTCAGTTACAAAGATTCTGCCTTCACCAGTCCTTACGTTCACTCACACGGGTTTAGAGCCTCACAATGTCAATAAGTTGTGTGTGTGTGTGTGTGTGTGTGTGTGTGTATGTGTGTGTGTGTGTGTGTGTGTGTGTGTGTGTGTGTGTGTGTGTGTGTGTGTGTGTGTGTGTGTGTCTCCTTCCATGGCCTCATCTGCTTAAACATAAACAACGGTACTTAATCCCTCTCCTCCACCGTCCCTTTCTCTCTCTCTCTCTCTCTCTCTCTTCTCTCTCTCTCTCTCTCTCTCTCTCTCTCTCTCTCTCAGTGACTACAGGACTATACACAATATAACAAAAAAACCTTCAGCAAATGTGAAGGCGGAAACGTCTTGCTGATAAATGTGGTACCTTGTCGAGACCCCTTCCTCACTACCAGTGTCCAAACATTCCTTCTCTTCTAGACACGTTCAGTATACTTCTGAGGCTCTTAACACCCTCACTGCAGCAATTACTGGATGTACCTTGACTGTGAGCAGTGGGTAATCCACCTTCCCACAGTGTAAACACACCAGTAACAAGATGGGTCACATGACAATGATCAGGGGAAGGTCACTGTAACAAGGTGGCTAGTGTTACAGGTATCTGGGGAGGTAAAGGGATGGTCCCACACCAGTAACAAGGTGGCTAGTGTTACTGGTATCTGGGGAGGTAAAGGGATGGTCCCACACCAGTAACAAGGTGGCTAGTGTTACTGGTATCTGGGGAGGTAAAGGGATGGTCCCACACCAGTAACAAGGTGGCTAGTGTTACAGATATCTGGGGGGAGGTAAAGGGATGGTCCCACACCAGTAACAAGGTGGGTTGTGTTACAGTGACGTAGGAGGGTATCTGGGAAGAGGGAGGGGTGCATATATATATATATATATATATATATATATATATATATATATATATATATATATATATATATATATATATATATACATATATAACCGAATATGTAAAACTGGTCAATTAGCAAGAGCTCATTTAAAATTAAGTCCTTTCTAAAATTTTCTCTTATACATTTAAAGGTATATTTTTTTCATTTATGTTAATGTAAAAATTAATAATTTTGTACCAAAAGAACCTTAGTAAACTTACCTGACCTTATTATAACAAGCGCAATTTAATTTACCCTAATTCAACTAAATGCATTTTAGATAAGTTTATATTAATTTAATAAACACAATGAAATATATTTTTTCTTTACGTTCAGAATGATTTTTGATAAATTAATGAATGTACAAATTATTGCTTGCCTTATTCGGCAAGAAGAGCATTGCTATTTAAGCCAAAATCGCAAGTTTTACCTATTCGGCACGACATATATATAGTGACTTAGGAACATCACTGGCTTGGCATCACTAATTTTAAAGGTTCTAGTTATCCACCCTATTATTGTCCACACACTCACGGTATAAAATACTGACACGATATAATGCAGTATAATGCCATCCTTGATTGACAACGTTTCGCCCACACAGTGAACATTATCAAGTCAGAAACACATCTACCTGGGCAGAGTCTACATGAATATATATAGGAAACAGTGGCGTGGAGAGTCAGGCGGAGAATGTTGATAAGGTTGGATATGAGACTGACCTGCAGAGAATGGGCAAGTAGGTTGGTTGCTATGTAGGGTAACGAGCGAGGGGTTCATTATACAGGATAACGAGCAA